TTTTGCTAAGGGGGGGGGATTGACCAAAATAATGACGATGCGGAGCATCGTCCACGAGCCGCGAAGCGGCGAGCCGATTTTTTTTGGGTGTTTATTTTAACCCCGTAAGTGATGTTTTCCTGGCATCTATTAACACATTGGAGACCATAAAAAGCAGTGCATGATAACGTCTTTTTAAATCAAGTAACAGTTAAATACACAGTTATATCCAGAGTTATCATGTGTTTGGTTAAGTTACCAGATGAGTTGAATATCTTCTCACAATATTTGCACTTGAAAGGGTTTCTCTCCAGCGTGCGTTCTTTTTTCTTTCTTTTTTTCTTTTTTTTCCCTCTTTTTTTTCCCTTTTTTTTTTGGTGTGTTTTTTGGGCCGCCCAAGGGGGGGGGGGGGGTTTAAACCCCCTAAAAACCCCCCCCCCCCGTAGATCCGCGCCTGATATCCAGAGTTATCATGTGTTTGGTTAAGTTACCAGATGAGTTGAATATATTCTCACAGTATTTGCACTTGAAAGGGTTTCTTTCCAGCGTGCGTTCTTTTTTCTTTCTTTTTTCTTTTTTTTCTTCTTTTTTTTTCCTTTTTTTTTTTTTCTTGTTGTTTTTTGGGCCTCCCAAGGGGGGTTTAAACCCCCTAACCCCCCCCCCCCCCGTAGATCCGCGCCTGTTTAATCTTGTGGTTATCTTGTGGTTTCCAAACCACAAGATAACCACAAAATACTTGTAAGATTTTTCTTTTTTTACCGTCTGAATTGGCTTTCACCGTGTGAATGCGGCTAATAACAATAAACATAATTACAATAATGATGAGGATTATTATTATCATCATCATAATTATTATTATTATTAATATTATAATTGTTATCATTATTATTATTACTATTATTATCATCATTATGACTTATTAAGTAAGCAAATATCATTCCCCAAAACCTGGGGGGGGGGGGATGATTGTACATGCCATACCCCCACCTTGTGAGGTGGGGGGGATGCATCCCCCTCATCCCCCCCCCCCCCCGTTGTCTACGCCCCTGCTAATAACTAATAGTAATAATAATAATGATAATGATAATAATATGGTAATGATATTAAAAATAATAACAAAAACAATAATGATGTTTCAATATCACTTTATTAACGCTCCTGTTTATTAACACATTGTAATGATTATTTCTATATGTATTACCTGCCATGAACGATGTCCCAGTCATGTTTTGTCATGTATGTTTCTTTTTTAGTTTTGTTTGTATATGTTATCCTCTTAACTACTGTTCGGTGAACTATGCCTCCACAAGGCCATATGGTCTTATTTTCTAGTTCCCTATTTTCATTTTCTTATATATTGCGAATGCTTATCATTGTATATACATTTGTATTGTTTTTATTGAAAATAGAAATGAATAAAATGAATTGAATTGAATTGAATTGAAGTACTAATAGTACATAGTAGCACAGAGAAAAAGCCCATGCCATATACTCTTTTGTAATACAATGATGAAAATAAATTTAATGATAATATGCCTTATAATGAGAAAAAGAAAAAGGAAAATAAAGAGAAGAAAATTCATAACGTGTCTTTTCTTAAGAACATGTAGGCTCTAAAGCTATGCCTACTGAAGCAATATGAGCACGGTAGAGTATGCAATAATAATTTTGCTACAAAAGATTTGCTTTGGCAAAAGATGTCAATGTAGCTCAATTCAACAGAAACGATAACATCACTTACGATTCACAAACCAGGAATATGAAAATGTAATAGCTAAGACTGACATATAAAATAAAAGTTAACTATTCGCATGATGATTCAGAATTTTAGACTTCCGAAGTAATCGGTGAGTGTACCTTATTTAAAGGCTAAATCTGTAGACCACCGAGTGCATCAATCTAATACGATCATCCACAGTTTGTGTGCAGAGCGGATACTAGTCTAGCAGATAAGCCCCTTCATCAATATTTGAAAGAATCACATCCAATATGTATTCAATTAAAAAATACAAGTAAAAATAGTCGATACAAAATATTTGGATGTGTATTGCAGACGTAACCTTTATAATTTCCGTTAATCCTTATTTAGTTTTATGCACTCGGAACGTGAGACCGCACGCACAGGTCTGCTCTATAAGTTATACAAGGATAGTCACTGGGCATGGTGCGGTATTACAAAGTCCATGGGTATATGAATTTTCATAATGTTATTGTGTGCACTCGGGGCACCACAAAAAAAGCTGCGGCTCGAGTGCAAATTTCGACGCTCCTGTATTCACAAATGACAGAAAATAAAAAGAACATTTCTAGAGGATTAATTTTCATTAATCTCAACATTATCAGGGATGACATAAATATTGGAGTTAGGTCTGATGATCTAAATATTAAATAAACATTTATAGATCTTTAAGGTCGCATGTACTTTATGTAGTTTAGGTTATGGTTAAAACAAATCCTGATCAGTTTTAAGCACAATCAAATAATGACAGACTATAACAAAACGTTAACAAAAAACTAACATAATTATATCAACAGTAAATGCGAGTCGGGGAGGGGCTTCTTTTTTGAAGGGCTTCCTGGACGGTCGATTTGGGAAAAACAATGCACATTTTGGGGGAAATTTGTAATTGGATGTATTCTATGTGAGTTTATGCAGCTGTTGGTATTTTTTTACAAAGGAAAATGGGCACGTGTCAAAGTAAAACGTGTCACACCTCTCATATGTGAATTGGGGCAATTATCAGAGGTGAAGGGGCGCTTTTCAGAGGTAGTAATTACGAGGCACTAACCAGAGATGATAAGGGGCATTTACGATAATGGAACAAGGAAACGTGTTGCAATGGAAAAGGAGCACTCAGACGGTCAAAGGAAAATGAGTGCTTATCAGATTTTGATAGGGGTATTATTTTATCAGAGGTGAAATGGGGCATTTATGAGAAAGATAAGGGGCTTTTATTTTTTAAGATAGGGGGGGGGGGTACTTATCAAATTAAAAACTAGGGCGCTTCATAAAAAGGAAAAGGGGCACATGTCAAAATAAAAGGTCACTTATTAGCAGGGGAAGGGGCACTACTTGCGAAGAAAGAGGGTCACTCGTCAAAATAAAATAAAATGGGGCACATTTCCTCTGTAAATAGGGGCACATTGAGGGTACCTGAACAAATTTGGGGGCTGCGCACCACTGATGCCCCTCGAGAGTGCCACCTCTGATTAATTAACAATTTCAGCAATTCAATATACCCTGAGGCCAGATGATATCCAAAACGTACAAAGACACTTTCAGTGCATGATACTGATATTCCATGAATAGTACTCATTATATTCGATGTAACTCCTCACGGAAGGCTTCTGTATATCTACACAGGGTTTGCATGACCGGGAGGGGTATAGGCCTACTCCAGACCCACTCCAGGTTCAAAATACTAATAGAGGGGATCGAGGCACTTGATCTCTTGGCTTGCGACTCTCTGAATTAATTTCATCTTAGAATAATCAACTTTCATTACATTTCGACAAATTAACCACAACTACCCTTTTTCCGAATAACGTATTATTCCAGCCTGAAATAGAAGTTGCATTGAAATATTTAAGTGTTCTTCATACAGTCCGAAGCCCAAAGCCACTTGGAAATGGTGATTCATAACATACAGGCATTAAGAAAAGTTTATTTTTTGTTCGAGCTTCGGCTAAAAAGAATTTTAGAAAACAAGGGCAGTTCAACATTATTTATCCATCTAGAAGCCACACAAAGCCGGTCACATGATTCAACCCAGCCAAACTCGGAAAAGCTGCCCGCACGTACTGAACGTGTCACGTATCTAAATAATCTTAAATATTCAATAGTTGTTTGATTATTCGTGTGAAATAATGAGGGCGAGCATGCAAGCGCTACTCGAGTGCAAACCTAACCCCCTCTAGTCTCTTCTTAAGGTGTTTTAATCTTTATCACAAAGTATGACAGAAAAAAGATCACAATCATTGTTGTACCCCGGGAAGGCGAAATTTGTGAAAACTTTTAAACATTATTCATTTATGCTCCATTTTATGTATTTCGTGTGAATCAATGAGTTATAACCATACAGGCCGACCCCATAGTGCAAACTTTATATCCTATCGTCTCCACTCGAGGCGTTTTGATTCTATTATTAAGAGATATCATCAGTGATATCGAACCTTCTTCAGTGGTATTGGAGGAGGACGGTATATAGTGACACGTGAACTTTGAATGGTGTGTTGTGTCTGTACATGGGCCGGGAGGGGGGGGGGGGGGGGTCATATCGTACATAGTTATCGGTGTGGTTTTGTTGTTGCCCGGGGTTGATTTGTTCTTGTAATGGTTGTTGGTTATGTTTTAATTTATCATATGATTAGGAGCGTAAGCCTTGAGATCGTGTACATGTCAGTACCATATCAATTACATACCTATATATTTTTGTCATTGTGCTACATGATTTTGAAATACTTTATGGAATCTTTACGTTTTAAAGCTTATCTGTACTAGTTTATAGAAGGGATTAGACCACACTGGACACGTTGTTATCTCATCAACTCAGCTCTTATTTAACATAAGAAAAAGAGGATCACGGGGGACCAATGGTCACCGATTAGGCAATGTTTTCTAAAAAGAAGGAGCAAGTAGCTACCAGTAGGACAGTGTGGCTTTAAAAGATTTTGACACAAAGTTGACAGTGTTACCTTTATCATTCAATTTCGTACTGTTTCAGCAACACTTTTTTCTTTTAGGCAAACGTTGGGGGGGGGGGGGGGGGGGGAGGGGAAAGCATCCCCGGCGCTTTTTTTTAAATACCGATTTTGCTTCCCTTCCATATATCCCTTATCCGACACAGCCTGTCATCACCATTCCTGATAGGAGCGTATGCAAAACTAGAAACGCCCATATAGATTGAGCTCTCCACACCGCTAACAATCTAGTGCATAATACGTGATGTGTTTACCTATTTGTTTGCACACGGATCTTGGAGTGAAAACACATAAAAACCCGAATTTCACCAGGTTTTGTCACAAGCTAGACAAAAGATTTCAAAAAAAAATCAAGCTGAAGCGATTGAGTGTGATTTACACTACCTTCTGAAACGTACAACTCGAGTTCAATTTCATCACCATGCCTGACGTCAAGTGTGACTGCTGCAAGGGTAAGAAAAAAAAGTCGAAATCAATGTTGTTGTTGTTGTTGTTGTTGTTGGTAATACTACCCTCTTAAAAAAAGAGAGTGAATTTTCACTCTATTTTCACTTTCTTGGGAGTGACGTTCGTGATCACTTGTTTAGGAGTGAAAATCGATTGATTTTAGAGTGCTCTCTAAGAAGAAAAGAGTGGATGTTCACTCTATTTTCACTACAATTCCCCGGTGGGGTCACTGTGACTTCCGGACCGCATGACCGTTACCAAAATCGCGGAAAAAGGGGTCAATTTCAAGCAATGTCCGCGGACAAAATATTCCTCGAAATAAAGAAAACAGGGGTGCACAGGTGTCCCCGAAATTGAGAAATAGGGGTCAGGAAAAGGGAAAAGAGAAAACCGGGAAGGGAAAAGAGAAAACCGGGAAGAAAAATTCTCGGAGCCGAGTCTTGTCCTTGAAATATGGTAAAATAGGGTAAATTTGCGAAAGTGTCCTTACAATCTTATAAATAGGGGTATTCCAAATTACGATTTTGTCCTTGTTTTGACGTAAAAAGGGGGTTAAATTTCACAAAATGTCCTTGAAATTGACCGCTAAAGGGGGATATATGCCTTGGTGGTGACGGTCATACGTGTCACTCTTTGCAGGGGAGTGACCCCACCGGGACATTTTCACTCTCCAGAGGAGTGACGTCCGTCATCTCTCGATTTTTTTTAGAGAGTAGTTTAATGGCGTTCATTCACCATAATTTTTTTTATCTTCAGTTTTATAAGAAAATCAGTTATACATAAGAAAACTGAGAATAAAGATTTGTAAAGACATAATCAATTAGTCAATAACGCAATTTATTTGGAGTCTCGATCTGGATGGTTTGCAACTCCGTGTTTCTGCATGGAAAACTAGCTTTGCCCGATTCGAAATCAATGTTCAATGTTCTCATTAACATGTTAAAATGCCCAGTTACCGTATACCGTGTACGGTGTAGCGTTTCTAGAATCACTAAACCGCTTGATTTTACGCGATCACGACACGCAATGCAGCCTGTCTGCTAGTCTGCAGGCACAGACCCTAATTTGACACTTTATCAAAAAATCATTGTGCCTTGAGAGAAGTCTAGCCCAGCTACCTACTGGTTGTGTCAAGAGCAGCTACAGTACATGGCCTATGGTTGTCTTATAGTGCGAACTCACTTTTACGACTGACCAGGGTTTGTGCTTGCAGACTGCCTGTCTGCAACCATGGACCATGCTGCAACGTAGACAGTGCGGTGTTGTTGTTGTTGTTGTTTGGTGTTATCGGCGTTTCATTCGTTTTTAGAAATAGGATCCGTTCTTTTAATCATATAATTATTACACAGAATCACGTAATATCTATATTCATCGAGGCAATTATTTAGGTGGAAAGGGATGGGGGTATATACATTCTTAGTTACTCTCCACAGTGGCGTACGCAGGATTTTTTCAAGGGGGGGGGGGGGGGGGATTAAAATCAGGTCCAAAATTTCGCAACGACTCAGCCAGCCGCTGAATATTTTTTTTGTCTCGAAATTTGGAAATTTGACATTTTGCTCCGTTTGGGGGGGGGGGGGGGTTAAGGTCAACTTTTTTAGGTCAGCCATTGGTATATATTTTTTTTTAATTAAAAAAAAAAAAAAAAAAAAAAAGGGGGGGGGGGGTTTCATTCAAAACACACACATAACAAATACCAAGGGGGGGGGGGGTTAACCCCCAACCCCCAACCCCCTGCGTACGCGCCTGACTCTCCATGAATATATATTATGCTAATGAGACTTTAACAATCTACAGTGTATACTAGTCTGAGTTACAGATCCCAAAATGAGTGTCGAGTGTGTAGTAAATGTGCACATAGAAATTTGCATTCAACTATGTTCCAAATGTATGTGACAAATAAGTTATGTCATGTTTTCTTGCCCGTTTCTTCATCCTTGTAACATCAACGGTTATGTCAATAACTGAGTTTTTACCAACAAGCACTGATGGATTTGTGGTTTCAAATCCAAGATTGTTATTACTTTTATTATGTTTTTATATCATTATATATATATTTTTTTTTAAATTCTGAACACAGAGGGCAAGGAGTGTGCCTGCAAGGGACAAGATTGCTGTAAAACTGGTGAATGCTGCAAGGATGGAATCTGCTGTGGAAAATGCACGAGTGAGTCTTTCATCATTTTCATTGAAAATGCCTCCTGCTACTCCTAGTAGGCATTTAGGCTACTACTCTTTACACAAACATTTATATTCATAGGGAAAAAAATGTTCCAAATGCTCATGCATTTTTCATTTCTTTATACTATCACCCTTAAATGGGTGCAGGCAAACTAGCAATGATTATTTGTGCACAATATATATATCATTCAGGTGTATCTATAGTTTTGTTGTGGGGGGGGGGGCACAAATCTAACATAATGTTGACAGGCTAGATATAGGTCTATATGATTTGCCAGGGAGATATGAATTCACATCTCCTAGGTGTATATTTTTGTTGTCACTAATTAAATTTAAAAAAATCACTATAGATCTACAGTATATATATATATATATATATATATATATTCTTTTTTGAGGGAGGGGGTGGGGGTTGTTGGGTTGAATGTGAATGAGGGGCCCATTATATATTCTGCTGTGTAGTCTGTATGTAAGAGAAATGCAGTTATACCAGCAATAGAGACATTCTAATTTGATGTAAATTACTTATTTTATCTTGTTTTTTCATAGATGTTGCATGCAAGACGTGTGCTGATGGCTGCAAGTGTGGAGGCGGCTGCTCATGCACTGAGGGGAACTGTGCATGCTAGACGAGGAGGGCCCTTTGCTATAGGGATGACAGGTGAGATTTTATTAGTGTTCATGGCTATATAGTGAAAATTGTTTCCAGACACAAACCTTTGCCAGTCATAATATATATTACAGGGTCTGAAATGAAGACTGTAGATCTGCACCGCATCAATAGGACCTCTTTTTAGCTGCTTGTATCTGACATATACATGTATGTAGCTAGAGACAAAGTTTTAATGTGTTATTTTATTTTTTTAGTCAGATTTATGAGGGCTATGTTCAACAGCTAGTTCAAGTTTAGCTTGGCTAAGTCTGTTATGGAATTGTGTCGAGTGTCAAAAAGAGTCCTGTCCTGCATGAATTTCATTAGGACAGCAACTGGTGCGTAGTACTTTCAATAATTGAAGAATTGCTTATAACACATCAGTTGTTATTTGATACCTATGAATATTGTGTCATTCACTTGAATCATTTTTTTAACAATCCATACCCTGAAAATATTGTTGGTTGTACCAAGAAGTTGTACTAGACTTTGTAGACTTGCGTTCTATGTTGTACTAAAAAAAAATGCCTTGTCAATAAAGATAAGTGTTATATGTAAACTAAAAAAATATGTACAATGTCCTGAGAGGCTCTCATATTCAATTTAGCTCAGTTAAAGGTACTATGTCCCTTTTGCAGCCAACCTCAAATTCTGTAGAACTTTGCAGGAATTATGAATATGTCATGTATGTCCTATCTGTGAAATTTAAACGTTAGCAGTGTTCTAATATTCAAATTATGCAAGAAAACTTGTTTACTTGCTAGACTTCACTGTCAGACACTATTGAGTGACTGACTGGCTTTTTTTCTTTGGTAATAACATACATAAAATGAGCTGTAAAGAGTACATGAGCATTTGTCTACATCAATAACCCACTTCTTGTGATGGCCGAAATTAAACTGATTGAATCTTTGCGCAGCATAAAACGTATGACCATTCGGTACAATGGTCTGTACAATCAAGACTATTACTTATTGGCTCTATAGCTCCTAAGTCGATTTGATAACTAAAATTCGTTATTTTCCCACTTGAAGACATTTTCAAACCCCACCTTTTTAGGGAAGTTCTAAATTAGTATTATCTTTCAAATGCCATTGAAATTTAACCTTTTCATTTTTTTGGCTTGCAAATGGGACATAGTACCTTTAAGAAACAGTTATTTTCATAAAATAAAATAATTGTATCACTGAATGAATTTGAATGTTGCTCTAATGCTCATTGAAATGTAAATAAAGTAATACGCAAAAAACAAGATTGACATTACTGCATTGGGATATATGAAAAAGGCCAATTACAAAATCTTTGCAAGTTATGACAATATCAATATGTATATTGCCTTTCGTGACTTTTGGATATAATTTTTTCAACAACCCGAACAAATCTATTGATATCATATTTTTTTGTACAAATATTTTCAAGCATTTTGTTTTTCTCTCCGTGTCTGTTTCTCTTCTACAGATTGAGCATACAGCTGATGAAGTGATCAATCAGTCAGCGCATCTGCCAAAATGCTCCAAGCAGACATGACTTTGTATATTTTCGACCCGATGCCTTATATTTTTCTTGTAAGGTAGTTGTATATTAAGTTAATTTGTGAAATTTGGAATGTATTTCTAATGCGCCAACTCCACATGACTAATGTGTTCCGAGACTCACTCGTGATTAAATTTAAGTAAGGCTTTGTATATTGTCGACCCGATGCCTTATATTTTCTTGTAAGATAGTTGTATATTAAGTTAATTTAAACTTTATTTTTCTGAAATATGAGACTAATTGGCATTAAAAGGACTACTTAAATAAACTTTAGTAAGGCTGACAGTAATGCCTGGTAGAATTTTACTTCATTTGTTGCTGCCCTGTATTGTAAATTTTTCAGTCTTTTTCTAACTTCTATCAAATTGTGAAATTTGGAATGTATTTGTAATGCGCCAACTCCACATGACTAATGTGTTCGAGACTCACTCGTGATTAAATTTAAGTAATGCTACAATGTACATTCAGTATGCGTTGCTTATTTTTTCTTATGATTTATTAGGATGATATATACTGAGGAAATAAGTGAGATTATTGAGGTACTTTTAAGAAAAGAGAGATGTGTAATTTAGAGAATTGAGTGCTGTAGAGTGAGTATGACCAGATAGGAGTGAAAAGGGGAGAGGGAGAGAGAGAGATAATGAAAACAAAAAGACGTGGACGAGAGAGAGAGTGAGTATGACCAGATAGGAGTGAGAAAAAAGAAAGAGAGAAAGAAAAGAGAGAAAAGGGAAAGAGAGAGAAAGAAAAGAGAGAGAAAGAAAAGAGACGTGGACGAGATAGAGAGTGAGAAAAGGAAGAGAGAGAAAGAAAAAGACGTGGACAAGAGAGAGAGAGAGTATGACCAGATGGGAGTGAGAAAAAAGAAAGAGAGAAAGAAAATACGTGGACGAGATAGAGAGAGTGAATATGACCAGATATGAGTGAGAAAAGGGATAAAAGACAGTTGGACGAACGGAAAACGTCAATATGAAATAATAATGGCAAACGTAAAACTGATAAGTGCCCTCTTTTCCTTTTTGATAACATGTGCCCCTAATTTCAGTTGAAAGCAACTAATAGCGATTTTTTTTTAAATTCCCCCCTCAAAGCTCGCTCGCTTGCATTTATAGTTGATCAAATTATGTTACTTTCATGATTATATTGTGCTTTACATCCCATTAGGATTAGTTTTTTCTTTATTGCGAGTTGTGATTTTTCGCACTGCGACTTCACAAATCGTATCCCAGCAGCAAAGTATGATACTTAATCAGTATCTTGGCCCATGTAAAGAGAGAAACAAATATTAAATTATCAACCATGAAAATCACCAAATAATCACAATGTAGCGGTATATACTAATGTTTATATAAAAGTATATTTTCGCTTTGATGTTTCCCTTTGTATAGGTGTCCCTTTTTCTTAGTGCCTTTTTTGTTGTTGAAGCTCCCCACTTTCGAAGACACTCCGCCGCCCCTATATAGGGGTTACTCTTCAAGAACTTCCCCTCGCAAGGGTCAACCTCATAATGTCTGAACCCCCCTTCCCCAACTAAAATCCGTCTAGTCAAGAGCCTGATTACGAGCTTTTTAAAAATGTTTCAATTCACTCATCCTGGGTCAACCTGTCAAAAACGTTTTTATCATTACGCTACTGCCTCTGCTGGGCCCCTATTTAAAAAAAAATTGTCATCAGTGACAAATCACAGTTTTTATTATATTAAGCTATATACTGAAATCCTTGCGTCTGATTGATTATCTGCAGATTTGTCACTGATTTTTGGTATTTGTCATTGAAAAAAGGCTTTGTGAAATGGAGTCCAGGTCTTGCATAGACCTATTAGCATTCACTAACTTTAACAAGTGAAAGCTCCTATCAAACTTTTACAATATTTTATTATTATTATTTCACATCAATTTAAGGAATGTTTTGTGGACAAATAATATTTTATTGCACTTGGTATAGGCCTAAGTGTTCTCAATGCGGCTAAACTCTATTAAAAGTAGACCTTGATTGTGGTAAAATTATTTCCCTTGTAAAACCAGAGAGGCAAAATAAATTGCCATTTGCAAGGTAAATGAACCGCGATTTCCTGTAATAAAGGCAACAAAGGTCTCTCTTTCTCTCTCTCTCTCTCTCTCTCTCCTAATTGTGCTCGACTGCTGTTTAGTAGTTTTTAAGCACTTAAACACACCTTTCTTCTCTGATATTGAGGTCTTTCCTTCATATTTTGGTATTTATTGCTCATATGCTTTAATATCATCAATTATCTGCAGATTTGTCACTGATATTTGGCATTTGTCATTGAAAAAAGGCTTTGTGAAATGTAGCTCAGGTCTTGCATAGACCTAATAGCATTCACTACAGGGGCGTACGCAGGGGGGGGGGGGGGGGGGGGATGGGGGTTCAAACCCCCCCTTTGGTATTTCTTACAATATTTTATTATTATTATTTCACATCAATTTAAGGAATGTTTTGTGGACAAGTAGTCCTTGATTGTGGTAAAAATATTTCCCTTGTAAAACCAGAGAGGCAAAATAAATTGTCAATTGCAAGGTAAATGAACCGCGATTTCCTGTGATAAAGGCAATATAGGTCTCTCTTTCTCTCTCTCTCCCTCTCTCTCTCTCTCTTAATTGTGCTCGGCTGCTGCTTAAAGGTAATACAAAGTTTTGGGAAATTTTTGAAAATTGGGTGGACAGAGATTCTTTACAATTTTGATATATTTGATTGCCCCTGTGGATGTATTATAAGCACTGGAAAATTTAATCCCTAAAACACTTCTACTTTCGAGAAAAATTTAACATAAAAATTTACCGGTGCTCCCGGTACATTTTGATAAATTTCAAATAGCGCCTACGGTCGTACAATGGTAGCAGCGACCCTGAAAATCTCAGATTTATGTAGGTCTGATATATAATTACCTAACGGGAATAGCCAATCGGTCGATTTAGTCAAGAAACATTGCTTTATAGCTTAATTAATATATTGATTTTGAGAGGGAGCTATACAACATGAAGAGTTTATTATTAACAATTTCATTTAATTTAGACTCGATTTCAACCGTGACGATGATCACTGAATATTGTAGGATCGCATATGCTTCCAATATGTTCATTTGAACCAAATTCATGACGAAAACTTTGTATTACCTTTAAACACACCTTTCTTCTCTGATCTTGAGGTCTTCCTTCATCTTTTGGTATCTTTCGATCATTTGCTTTGATACCATCTATTAGAATATCATAATGTGTCACTCTACCCCACCCCGGGGGGGGGGGGGTAGGAGGAATTCAAATTTGGTTTTGACGGGGGTGTGCCGCTGAAGCCGATGAAGCCTCGAAATCCCTACCCATTTTGAAGGGTCATTTTTTTCGAAGTAAAGCCCATTTTTCAAAAAATTCGGGTGTTTGCATGACAAAAATAAAATTTTGATAAAGCGGACCTATATTTAGGAATATTTTTGTTAAAAATAGGATCAATGTTTAGGGATTTTTCGTGAAAAGTTACTCATTAGAGCGGCACACCCCGTATGTCTCAATATGTGAGTACCCCCCCCCCCCCCGGGCTCTATCCACCAAACTTATCTTTTTCATCTTCCTCCACATCCACATTTCAGAACTCTCCAACCTTTTTTGTATGTCACCTGTTTTTGGAGCCCATGCCTCTGATCCATAGAGCAGCACACTCCAGTCCATAGTTTCCATCAGTCTCTTCGTTAGTTGGTGAGAATGTGATGCTCACGGAAGGAATCCCGATGAGGGGTTAGGCCTGTATTTATATATTCTGATAGTACATGCATTTTACGTGACGTTCTTACAAACATTTTTAGCTAGATCCATCAACATATCGCATTGACCAACGTCCCTGGACACCGGAAATAGAAAGTTAGGAAAAAGCTAGTTACCGCGAACCCCCCCCCCCCCCCCCCCCAATTATAACAGCTCGTTCTTGTTGGCCATTTGACTATACTGAACTCTTAGCCCTGCCCAGACAGGGCCCTACCACCCCAGACAGAGCCCTGTCAGACTTTTCAAGGATCACATATTAATATGTGCCCTCTTGGTTTCTGACATTTTTTCAATTTTAAGTAAATAGTAAACCATTATCCTTATCTGTTCTGATAAGGGCCACTTTCCATTTCGCATGAGGTGAAATATATGAAAAACGATGAAGCGGAGCGACCAAGCGGGGATGGGTCAGAACCCCCTCCCAGAGTACGAAGCATTTGCATCTTTAGAACCACATATGGCGCATTTTCAGGCACTTACTGGAGTATAATATGACGTAAAATTGCTTTCTCCTAACCCCCTCCGAGAGTAGAGACCTTTTGCAATTTGAGAACCACATTTGGCGCATTAATGTCCACCGGCACTTCCTGGGAAAAAAACGAGGCCTTCTGATTCGTAAAAAGTTAGAGCAAGCTTATCTGTCACGTCGCGAGATGTTGTATATGCTTTGTTGCTGCACACTGCACAAAGACGGTGGTCGGTACTTCACCTAGTAGTACTTGCACAAGTTATCTCGAGTGTATAAACTGTGTTGTTATCAGGGGCGTCACTAGACCTTTTTCAGTGGGTGGGGGGGGGGGGGGTGTAGAGCCCCCCACCAATTACCGACAAAACTAGCCACCAATTACCGACAAATATATTAATGCCATTGTCTCGATGTCTACAAATTTTACCCTATAAACCCGGGGCCGGGAACTAAGTTATTTTTCAGTTTTCCACTTTTTCCCGCGCGTAGCGCAGAAGCTATGACGTTTCATCTAATTATTAGAGAAAGAAGACGATTCGTTGTACCGTTCTCGACTCTTAATCCTTGTCTGAATTTAGTTTTCCCCCTCCCGCGCAGGTATAAGGTAATAAGGTATCAAAATATGCTTATCTGACCGTAATTAAATGCCTAAAAACCCCTGAACTTCCGATCGCTCTGCCCCCTGGACCCCACACAAATAAGTGTTCTGCCAGTTTTACAAATAAGGTATCACAAAATATGCTTATCTGACCGTAATTAAATGGCTAAAACCCCTGAGCATCCGGGAGCTCTACCCCTCTACATCCCGGGGATAGACTTTGGCTTGGAAATTTTGCAGCTTCCCTAACTTCTCGGCGTTGAAAACACCTTGATGTCTTCCAAGTAATTCAACCATCACATTTTGTACTTGGTGAACATTCGGTTAGCTTGGGTTTCCTACTGGAGCATGCTGGCTAACAATAACATCAACAAAATACTGTTGGTACTTCCGTCACCATATGCCAGTCTCTTCCGATTAGACATGCACCCTTTTTAACTACACCTTGATTAAGTTTTTCTGGCTTCCTTTGCGGTTCAAGCTGAACGTCGACCACGGCTTCTCCGTTCGCCCCCCCCCCCCCCACTCAGTGTTATTTAGGGTACGCATATGCTCGTTCCCTCTTTTTGAAAGCACCCCCTATCTGAGTACTGCCAACATTTCCGAACTCCCCCCCCCCCTTTCTCA